ACCTTCGAAATGTCTTTCACCATGACTATCAATTTGATTCATAATAATCATGATATTTGTAATGAAGTTTCCACTGTCATTATTATTATCATAATCACATTAGCTGTCACAACTACTATTACTGGTGAGGACGCATCGTTCTTATTGCTATCACTGTTATCACTACTATCATAATTAATGCCATTAATTACAACTACCATAATGCTAATTACCATGTATGCATGTTTTTTTTATATTTTTCATGGAAATGATATCTCTCACACACCTGCTTTCTCGTTTTTCAGCATAAGAGAAACTGACCATTTGGTGCAAATATATTAATGCTAATACCGAAGAAAAAATATTAGCTACGAAGAAGATATGCGGATTTCGGGTAGTTTAAATATAAATTTTCAATAATTTGATTCGGTATTTTAGGACCTGAAATGTCCGAAAAGGGACAGAAATTTAGCGTTATCAGTGCAGTATGAATCTTATTTCTGTTTGCTTTACTTTTTCTTTTTTTTTCCACATCATCAAATATCGTAAAGGATGAATTAATCATGTGAAATAATGCTTGAAGTTGTTACAAATTGAAGTTATTACAATTAAAAATTTTTTCATCAATATTTTAATTCATTCTCCTTAAAAACTTATTACATTTTATATTTTATGAAAGGCCACAATATTTGTGACTTTTACAATTTCTAGAATTGAATCTGAAGTATTCTATATTGTTTCGACATTTGATTTAATATTTGTTCACAAAGGATTCTAGCTTCCATTACCTATGCAAAACAAAGATAAATCTGTTTCCAGTGGATTGATATCTTATATTATTAAATAAATCGTGCCTAATTTTAGATACTAATAGCTTCTAAAAAGTTTTGAAATTGACAATAAAACGTTTTTCATTTTGTTATTTGTTTTTTCTAGACATGAAAACTAAGACATTTTTGTCTTTCTTTTTCAAGAATATATATATTCAGCTATAGAAATGAAATTGAGATAATGGCATGATGTCAGCTTTTTGAAGACTCGGAACTTCGAAACTAGATAATTAGAAGTTTTCAGAATTTTTAGCTCGTCATAAGTTTCGAAAAACTCTAACCAAATTCCGGCGCTCATATCTCTCAATGAGCGCTGTTGATATAGTTTTGATTTGTTAAGTCTTGGCTTATCTCACTGCAACCTTTCCTGAAGAAATTATTGTTATGCAGAAATTTCGGAATCTTTCTCAAGGCAGTTTTTCATAACCAAATTTTTTGTGGAAATTAGATTTTTATTGTATGTTCCTGTACATAAATAGATCGAAAAAGCTTCAAAATTAGAATAAAAAACTTAATTTTTTTTTTCCACAATATAATTTAACATTAAGCAATTTGAAGACTTCCAACTTATGCTCATATTTAATTATCACAAATTCAGTAATTTTCAGTGACTGATCAAGTTCATAGCGAAAGCACATTTTGTCAGCGAATAAGGCAACATTCAATGTCACAAGCTGACGTTGAAAAGTCGGATTTAGAAAAGGGAAAAACTTTGACAAAAAAGGTGATCGACATGAAATTAAATTGTATTGAAATATTCAAAATGATGCATTTGCTAAAAATTTTTCGATTTCTTTTTCTGACTTGTTTTATGCTTATTCCAAGGTAAGTTCAGAGTTTCATTTTCAGTTAAATAATCAAGAAATTAAAATTTGACATTTAGTTTGAACTGCTGAAAGAATTTTTCTTTATTTAGATTAATATTTATAAGATTTTTTAGTCTAACAAACCGCTGATAGAAAGAAAACGAAGAGAACGAATCAATAAATGTCTTTTTGAGATGAAACAAATGTTAGTAGATGATGTTAAAAACAGGGTTATTTTTTCCAATATTTATTGTTTTTACCGCTTTGATTTGACTTATTTCCACCATCTCATACTTTCTGCTCTAATTTTTTGCCATTTCTCATTATATATTATAATTACTGATACTATATTTCTAATCCTTTCCATTGTTTAATATAATCAAACTTTTCTAGATTTTTGACCTAGAATTTTAAAACTCAGAGGAAACGAGCCAGAACGAAAATTTGAATTGTTGAGAATTTTGGAAAATGTAATGTGTATTTTTTTAAGATAATTTATAATTTCTTAACCATTTTAAGTCTCCAAGTCATTTCAAATGGGAGAAAGCAGATGTTTTGGAAATGAGTGTCGCCTATATTAGACAGCTAAGAAGATGTATTGCTGCTAATAGCAGTTAGTTTCATTCTTTTTTTTTTTTTTTTTTGAGAAAACGATAAATTTAAATTAGTAAAGCAGAAGGAAAACCAAAAAATCTAATTCTTTTTAATTTAAATGGTGATGAGAAAACGTACCGTAATATGAATTCGATTTCTATTTGTAATACTTTTTGAACGAATTTACATACATTGTGCACTTGGCGACGGCTCTTAAAGTATCATAATATGGATTCAAAATTTTGAGTGAGATATTTGTGTTTGATTAAAGTGACAGTGGTGTCTCTCTTCAGAAGCAAAAAAAGTCTTTTCGTTGCCTTATTTTGTGGATGGTTTCTCAAATTGTGTGCGCGAAATGCAAAATTATACATTGCTAGAGAAATGGCCAGTTGATTTGCGAGAATACAATAATCGTCTCACAAGTCATTTGAATGCTCGTCTACATTTGCTTATCAGTGAACCAGCCATGAAGGTAATCATAAAACTAAAAAAGTAATGCTGAGCTTGCAAGAAATTCAGTAGTTTTTTAACATACTTTTCAGTTTTTTTCAGAACTTATAGCTTATTCTAGAGAATCTGTCGCCAAGTTGGTCTAGCATGACAGTTGTTGATAATTCTCATTGCCTGAAGTTAAATTTAAATAACTTAATGTGTAGGAAATTTATCTGCAAAGCTTTTTTCTGGTTAAACGTGTAATATGCTCTCTAACAAACAAAGTATTGTAGTAATGCAGTGAAATCTCTGAACGATAGGAAATGGAAAACAGAACAGAGTTCATTTTGAAATGCTCAGATCGATCTCAATACGAGATATGGAAATGACAAGTTATGATCAAAATGCTTAAACCGTATCACAACATTGCAGCATGAAACAATGTCAGCATCGCTACTATGCGACTGCACTGGTGCGAACATAATGTATTACAACAATCATGCATACAACAATTATCAGCAAACGAAAATAATGCAGCCTTCGACATTTGAGATATTGAACCACACAAACAGGTGAATTAAAGGAGGTAGGGGTAAGGTGATAAAGAGATTATACGAACTGAGCTATGACTTTTCCACAACTATTATTGTAAAAATTTCCAGTGGATTGAGAAAGTATGAAAGCCTGTCATCCTTCTGCTTTTCATGCCTACATGTAATATTAGTGACTAAAGATGTTGAACGCTGTGAACTGTATCCTATGTGAAATCGTTTTGCATAAATTGGTGGTTCCTCATCTTGAAATGATCAATATCGTCACACAATTATCACTTCAATCATTAGTTAGATATACATTGTGTCGTTCCTTAGATGAATTTTGAGTACTTTTAGATATATTGAGGCAGTCTCTTTAGACTAAGTATTGCGTTACAGGGAAGGACTATGTTAATCAAACATACACGTTTACTGAAAAATTCAATGAAGAAAATCAGCTGAGCGATATTTTTGATTTTCTTGTTTTCTTAATCTTTCTATATATACTATATTATTTTAATATTTGAGTGTGAATTTTTTATATGAGCGGAAAAAATGAATTATTTTTTAGAAATAGAACAGCAAAATGTGCCACATTATTATTCATAAAACATGGGATCAAAGCAATAAAATATCATCAAAATACCAAAATCGCATGTGTTTGAGAAAGTAAACTTCTGCACACATCATATTTCTGGAATTTTATCACACCATAAATAAAGCTCTTAGAAACCTTTATATCACTTCTCTCGAGAACTTAAAACTTTAATGAGTCTGATTTGTAAAATGATGGAATATTATTAAAGAAATTGCAGTTTATGACTTATGAAAAATAGAAATACATTGAGAATAGGTGAAGAAGAATTTACTCATTAATTCACATTTTATATTAGTTTCATTTTATCGGTCAATTTGTGACACTCTGCAAGCTAGTAACTTCATTGGTAAAAGCATAAATTTTTTGAACAGTTTCCTTTAAAATTAATAATTATACGTCGTAAGACCATACTAACGGATTTGATAATATTTTCCATTACATTTTAATGGTATGGTACCGTCGTTGCAGTAGCTTTTCCAAGAGCGTATTTAAAAATTCCTTAACCAAATCATTTCCTTAGCCAAAATCAGAAAAAGATGAAATCTCTCTCTCTCTCTCTCTCTCTCTCTCTATATATATATATATATATATATATAATAATGAAAACTTTTCTTTAAATACTGCTTTTTCCTATTTTTTGTAATCGAAACGCATTCTATTAATGACCAATTTTAGTGTTGGATGTATGATCGGCACTTCACGCATCAAAGCTCATTCTGAAGAGAAAATAGAAGCAAACTGCTGTGAAAAAGCATATCTGTTCCGTGACAACAAATTTAATGATCACAGTACGGCTAATGAAGAGTTCACAAAGACCAGCTGTGGTGGTCATAGATTATGGCGTCCATTTTAATGTTAGAATATTTTAAAACTTCTTACTCTCTTTTTGAAATTCCTCTCCATTGCAATCGTATTTATTTCTTAAGACTATCTGAATTTTGAATAATACATATCTATTTCAGATTTCAAGTTTCAAGCAAATTACAAAACATTTAATAAAATCGGGAAATTAAACAGTTCCAAACTGCTCGAATGCAGTAAAATTTTCAAGAAATCAAGGATTCCAATGCTTTTTCAAAAAATTAAAATTTTTGGATCCCAGTGAATAAAGATCACTTATTTCTTGCTATCATTACAGTTTATATACATGGATATGCTTTTTTTCATATTTTATTGCATCAGAGTTTCCGTGTTGAAATTCACTAATGACATTGTCGTATAAACAGTGATGGTTCAATTCTCCACTCCACTCATATTCGTTAACGTCGCTGATACATACGTGAACAATGAATCTTCAGCAGTTTCTGCACATTTGTCAGTTTGAAGATCTGTTTCTCTTGATTTGTGCTATTGCCGTATTCATCGTACTTTCGCTGTGTATCAGACGAAAACTTTTAAGCACAAATAAAATTTAGTAAAAATTGAAACTGATTACCATTGCTTTTTGTTTGGAAATGTAAGATTCTTCAAATTCAGATGGCATATATTTATTAAGTTAAAGAATTGGATGCTTGCCAATTGAGTTTACAAAAAGAAATGAAACAGAATAAAATATCATCGGTGCTGTCCTTTGCAGGAAAAATTCCGATATAACATGTTTTTCCTACTATTCGAGTAAGTGTTGCAACTTTCAAAGTAGTCCTTGCAGGTAAATTAATTACATTTGCTTAATTTTAATTTATGCATTTCATAAAAAATCCTATCTTCTTCTCTTCATTTTTCTTTATTTCGACTTCATTTTAGTGCAAATAAAATTTCACTAGTTAATTACTAACAAATAATTATTCAAATAGAAATAAATGTATTCATCAAGTATCGCAGTTTGGAAAATATGCATTGTTATCACCTAAATCCTTTAAATGAATGAAGTTTTTTTTTTTTTTTTTTTTTTTTTCAGTAAAAAATTTACGAAATTATAAAATCAGATGTCCAATAAGTGAGAGTGAATTATTAATTGAATTCATCGAAGTCAACAAAATGTACCAATAGCTAAAGAAGACATGAACTGTCCAGCTTCCCAGTAATTCATTACTGGATTTTGAAACTGTTGCTTAGACTTTCTAATCCAGTGATGTCCAAAACAAATTCATTTTACTTATATTTAAGATATAGGCTGTCATCATTAATTCCCCGATCCTCGATTTTTAAGTATTGCTTGCTACACGGAACAAATCGATTGATTGATGCCTAATTTTAAAAATTACAAAAATTGAAACCACATTCAAACTTTTTAAAGAAACTTGCGTGAAGTTTTAATCAAAAAACCAATTGCTGTAGTGCGTTGTTAATGTAGCAGAGCATAATGGAGCGAATTGCATAAGGATTAAATTTATTTAGAACATGTTCCAATTTCAGAAATATCATAAGACAGATTACTTTCTTTCAGTTACTTTCAGTATATTCGACTCTTCCTAACAAACATTTACAAAATCATTTTGCTGACTTATAAAAAAAAAATCTTTTATAAAAGTCTCTGCTTTTTAAAATTGTAACTGAATCTCCGACCGAATATTATTCCTTATAACTTCTGTGTCTAAAATTATTAGATTCATATCTGAGCTTATCTCTTCTAAAGTCGATATAAAATTTTTGAAATGAACTTATTCTTTGCAAAATTTTGGTTAATTAATTCTTCTCTTTAAATCATAGATACGTAACTGCTTTGGTCATTTTATATTTGTTTAGGCAATTTAAAGTAAAGATCCCTCAATGAAATCATTTATTAAGGTAAATCCTCAATCACCTGTCAAGGAAAAGGGTTATTTCAGAAATGTAGTGATGAACAGCATACCCGTGATGGCATTACTCGTTCATCGACGAAAAATTCACAGATATTAAAAAAGAGAGAAAAGAAACATTTTCTTATGGTGTTCTTATGGAAAATAAGTGACTTATGTCAATGAAGACAATATCTTCTTTTGAATATTTTTAGTGATTTCTCATTTTTTAAAGAAAATGAATTTCTCCGAATTGCAATATCTGTTAAAAAATGATTACCTTGAAAATTTTTATCAAGCTTTCTTGACATTTTTTCAAACACTTGTTTCTGAACAAAATCTATTTTAACTAGCCCAGATTATAAATTACAAAAGATTTGTGAAAATCCATAACTGATTATGTATAAGTAATTTGTAAATTTTTGTCATTCTAAGAAGTAAGTGAATGTGAGTAACGAGCTAAGCTTTTGTCCAAAATATTTTTTTAATGCTATGACACTGGAAGAGATGCATACTGCAGGAAATAATGGTAAAAATCTACTAAACTAAAAAAAAGGATCATGGAGCTGCAGTTATTTGTTGAAATTTGGCATCCAGATTCATGTCCAATTTATATTAAATTTAATGCAACTTTTCAAAAATCATGCATGTATTCTGGGATATAAAGGAAGGTAAATAAATTAAAAAACTGTATTTTAACCTCACAGAAATATGAAACTAGGCGAGAATTAGATAAGTACTATCGAAATAAAAGAAGTGTCATAGATTTATGGAACCAGAAATATATATTTGCAGTCCATACCTTCTCAGTTTTACAATTAGACATAAAACTGACCTCAAGATCATTCTCCTCATGCACAGTAATCCACCGGGAAAAATATTTCATCCATTCAATTACATAAAGTTGAGGTTTAGTCATCATACTGTTATGTAAAGGTTGAAAAGTTAAGTATATGTTTCCCAAAGCAGAAATTTCAAGTAATTTTAGTCCACTAATGTCTATCAGCAACCAATTAGTTATGCGATTCAAGCAATACCTTAACTAATTAACCGGTTTAAAGACTGCGGCAAAATTTTTTTATTGCTATCATCAAATGAAATGTGCCATCCCTGATGACCGAATAATCCTGACAACCTAACTTTGTTGCGGCAGTCTTTAAAAACAACCATGTCATTTTGAAATTTTTAGTGATGATAAATTTATTTCAACTTCCCTTCAAATCTATGCACAGATATCATATTTGGTATACAAAGAAAAGTTCATGGAACAGACTTCCAAAATGTGGGAAAAGTTCAATATTTTAATATATAACGCTTCATTGAGGCTAATTAATTTTTTTGGTATTGTTTCTCATTAAACAAGCGATAGTTTGCTATCACACTTTCTATTTTCCTTGATCTGATTGACAAACTTGACTCTGTTTAAGACTAAAACCGATCCTTTCAATGAATTGCTCATGATATTCTACCTGTTCTTATCAGTGCCTATTCTTGTTCACAGATCCACTACCATAACTTCTAATTTTCGTATGCATATTTGATATAGGAGACTCAGGTATACTGAAAAAAACGATTACAACTTTTCCATGAACGTATAATTCCTACTTTCGGCTTTTCCTGAGAAGTTCAAAATTTTCATACAGTTAGTCACCAAAAAGTTAATCATTCTCGTCAGAGACCATATATTCAAAAATATCAGAGATTATGCAAAGCTTTGAAATATATTATACTATTTACTATTTAAAGGCAAGAATTCCGAAAACGCTGAGAATTTGTAAATATGTCCGGTCAATCTGTGTAGCCAATGTAAGTTCTTGCTCAGAATTAGAACCTTTTGGAAATTAGAACACATGGGAACCAATGACCAATCCAACGCTAATGACGATGAAGAAGCGTTAAAACAATTCAAGAAGTCAATAATCAAGTGCAATGGAAGATATAGAGTCCGTTGGCCATGGAAAGAAATTAAAGGCAAATCAAGCAGCAACTACGGTCTATGCCTTAGTCGTCTAAAGAACCTCATCAAACGATTACAAGATATGACAACATAATGAAGGAACAAGAACAAGTGGATCCCGATGATAAGGTAGGCATTATTCATTTTACCTGCCTCATCATGGTGTATTAACTCCTAATAAGTCAACAACAAAAACGCAAATCGTTTACGACGCTTCAGTACACTTTAGAGACTCTAAAAGTTTAAATAAAGTATTTGTACAGAGGACCTATTTTGCTACGGGATCTAGTGGGTGTATCAATGATGAAAACAGTAATACTGGCCGATATTGAAAAGGCATTTCTACAAATAGAACTACATCCAGAAGATAGAAATTGTACTCGATTTCATTGGTTGCATAATTCAAAAAAAGGCGTAACAGAAGAAAATATAAAATTTTCTCAGTTTAAAAGAGTTACCTTTTGGAGTAATTTCATCGCTTTTTCCACTATCAGCTACAATTAATTTTCACTTGGAGAAATATGATCACGAGTTAGCAACAGAAATAAGGAAAAATATTTATGTTAATAACATAATTTTATCTGCGAAGTGTACAGAGGATGCCTTGTTAAAGTACGAACAAACAGAACTTGAAAGAGCAGCCATGAATATTGGAGAATTTATTTCGAATGATCTAGAATTCAATGAAAGATTACCCGAATACGACAAGGCTAATTCTAATAAAGGTAGTTTTCTTGGTATCAACAGGATTTATGAATTGGATGTAATTCATATAATACTTAAACCATGGAATGAAAAGAAAATACCTAAAAAAACTATCTTGCAATTTGTTGCTTCACATTATGACCCTCTAGGGTTTTTAGTCCCCTCAATGATTACACTCAATTTATTTCTTCAACTTTTATTTAGGATACAAAACAAGTGGAACCAGCCTTTAAGCTATCAAGAAGAAAAACAGTGGAAATCAATGATACAAAGTTGGCCAAAGAATATAATATGTAATATACCTACCTGTAATAAACCCATCAGATTAATTAGAAATACATGTATTTTCAGATGCTTCAAATAAAGCATACACAGCAGCAGTATATGTTCTCGACATCAAAAAATGTGGTAAAAATTCAACATTTCTCATTTATGCTAAATCACATATTGTCCCAATTAAACAAATTACCATACCTCGGTTGCAATTACTTTCAGTACTAATTGGAGTAAGAGCTACACAGTTTGCATTGAAGCAACTAGAATTAAAAAATATACCCTGCAACGCTTTGGTCTGATTCTAAATGCGCTCTATTTTGGATCAGAAATTATACGAGACTACTCCCTCGGTTTGTACAAAATCGAATAGAAGAGATACGAAGGGCACATTTCACCCTTCGATATACCCCAAGTGCGAACAATCCAGTGGAGGTTGCTACTAGAGGAATTTCACCAAGTAAACTTAAAAACTATCAACCGTGGTGGACAAAACCGCAGTGGCTAGAAAAGGAGAAAAGTAAATGGTCACAATGGGAATTCAAATATCAAGAAGACGATGAATCTAATAGAGAATTATGATGACTATTAGAAAGGTAAAGAAAACTTTTAAATTAGTAAAATTTCAATTCATAACTGAAAATTGGCTCGCATGTTAAAAGCAACAGTGTGGGCACTTCGGTTTATCAAATTTAGCTTCAAAACAGAACTACGTGGTTGGAAAAACTATCCACTCATAAAATTTACATGAATAAAGACGACTATGAGATAGCAGGAGGAACATTAATTTCACAAGCGCAGTCTGATGGATTAACTGAAGACCAAATTAGAATATGGAATTTATACTGTGATGAAACCGATAAATTATGGAAATCAACAAGCCTTCCTTTTAGAGAATGCGGAGTTAACAAATGAAAGTAAAATAATAAAATTTCTAATCTATTTACCAAGTCGTAATCATATTACTGAACTTATCATCAAAAAGAAACATGAAGAACCACATCATGCTGGAATTGCTCACACTCTCTGTGAATTAAAACCAAATTTTTGGATACCAAAGGGAAGATCAACAGTTAAACGGGTTATCAATGGATGCTTTGCTTGTCGAAGATGAAGAACTAAACCATATAAATTACCATCAGTGCCAAATCTGCCGGAAACGGGAGTTAAGAAATCAAAACCTTCTGGACAGGTTGGCCTTGATTATATGGGCCCAATTACTGTCGAAGATAACAATGGAAAAATAAAAGATGGGTAGCACTTTTTACATGTTTTACCACTAGAGCAATTCATCTCGAGCTTCGTCGATAACTTATCTGCAGAAATCTTGAAAGGAATGGTCTTGAAAAATATAATCCCGAAAGCACCGTGGAACGAAGGGGTTTATGAGAAAATGATTGGGCTAACCAAGAAAGCTCTCAGAAGAGCTATAGGAAGGAGATTATTATGGGAAAGAGAATTAATTACATTAATAGCAGAAATAGAATGTATATTTAAATTTTGATGATTACCTATCGATTTTATCTCTCCTAATGATCCATTAAATATACCAAATAATAATGATAGTGACCAAGAAGAATTTATACTCCATTATTAAATACTAGAGACAAACTAATTAATTATTGGTCGAATGCTCTCAAAACTGTAGATGTATTTTGGAAAAATTGGAAAAACGAATATCTTATTCGTTTGAGAGAACGTACCCAAAGGGAACTGGCTTCACCAAGACTAGTTCATAAGCATATTTTGCGTGTTGGAGAAATAGAACCAGATTTACAACCAGATATGTGGAAATTAGTAAGTACAGGAACACTTAAATTAGTTAGTGATTGAAGTATAGGAAAGGCAACTGTGAAAACTTCCAGCGGTAAACTTCTCAATAGACCAATTAATTTATTTTATCCCATGGAACTGAATGAAGAAGAAAGTGACGAAGTTCGAGCAATAAAACCAAGAGATGGAACTGGAGACGGACTAATAGCATCTCGTAGGAGTGGAAAGAAAACAGAAACTACAGCAAACAAATATCCCACAAAGGGCAAGTTGAGTGATGCTAATGGCCACCATTATTCTTTCAGTATTGCTACAAATTATTTATACTAATAGATGTAATTGGATCGCGGGTATTCCATTTAAACTCCCACAGAAATAGAATTGTAATGACCAATTTACACAGAACTACACTCACTGAAGTCGCTGTATATACAAGAACTCATGCATGAATACAAGCAATACAGTGTAGTAACATTACTCGAACGGTATGTACAAAGGCATCAGAATTCATACAAGAAGGAATGAACCAACTCACAGCAAATTGAAAGCTAGTTAGTCTTTTTATTTGTATTTTTGTTGTAATATCAATTCTAATTGTTGTTAATCTAAAACTAAAGATAATTTGTATACTTTTCAAATGTTTTAAGCGATCACAACAAAAGACGAGCCCTACTGAAATAGAACTAGTGCTTTGTTTAAAAGATGATCAAGATCAAAATTTATCATTACGACCAAATTCAAATCAAATAGATATCTTTAAACATATTCCTAAGAGCTCCTTTTTCCCTTGAGTAGAGAGTGTCGGAAAACCTTTATTACACGCTAAGTGTTTAGAATAATGCTAATGATCCATTACTACGAACCAATTCGTTATTCCTTTGTTATACTCCATTCTTTTTGAAACAATGAATTCTTTATGGAAACCTCAAATAGTAAATGTACATCTGTCTTCACTGTAAATGTTAATCCTCTAAGCTAAGTCCACTTCCTACATCTTTAAAATCTTCTCTAATTAGTAAAAAAGAAACGATCTCTGGCAGTTTTTTCATCCTCCTACTCAATAGTAACATTCATTCCTCCACTGTTTCGATTATTCAATTGTATATTGTGTCGATTTATTATTTTGAAAGAAAATAAATGATATTTGAGCCAATCTTGCTCGCAGACAAGAAGCACAGGGTTCAATTCAAGTCCTACAAACTTAAAGTAAGTCAAGTGAACTTAACTAACCCAAGTCATCTACTCTTCTGACCAAAAAGATATTTGAAATACACAAATCCAGTCTGCTATTCTGTCACTAATTCAAAATGCTAACGGAAACAGTGAAGTGAAAACAAAAGCAAATATCTCAGCCAAACTTTCTTTTAGTAGTTATCCTTAGAACAACAGCTAAGAAAATTCTGATGTAACTGCAACTATCGTATCGCAACTATTGTACTACTCATTCAAAGACGTTTTCTCTGTAGAAATGCGTTCTATTTAAAGAATCACATAAGTAGTGAAAAGTAGCAATGCTTTGTTTATGGAAATGTTAGTGATATTGATCGACTAATAAATGTGAGGATACCATGTACAATAATTATCAGTTCATGTACAGAATTAAATATCAAAATACAGCATTGCTATTAAAGATAAACACCAAATAACAATCATGAAATAAAAACAAATGTTTTTCCAAAGGATATTATAAAGCGTAAACCAAATACAGTATAAAACTACAACTATTTATCAACACACAGCATGTTACAGCAAATGATGCATAATTCAAACGATAAAAGAGAATATTTCCAAATATCCACAAAATTTGGTAAGTGAAAGAAATTAATTATCAACATAACATCGTGAAAGTTAAGATATCGCAAGGTACTCACTGTTATATGTAACTAGTCAAGATTTAAACGAGAACTATTTATCAACACAAAGAACTGATGGATACAGATTAGAATAAATTGTTTACTTTTTCTGCGAGATGTTATTAGGATATCATGTGTTCCCAAAAAAACCTAAATAAAAAAAGTACTGGTTCCACTGATTCATCAAGCAAAAATCTGTGCACAGAATTTTATGAAAGAATGCGATGTCAGTTCAAAACTTTTGTAAACAGAGGGAAGGAAAACTCAAAAATACACATTAGTAAATACATTAATCCACAGGAAACAGGTACACAAATGACGAATGATTAAATATGGCCAAAGGAAGCCAAAGCATTTTAAGCTATACCATCTCAAACTATTTAGATAAGACGTTTTCTCGTTGAAGCTAAATTTAGAAGGAATCGCGAATGTAATATATATATATATATATATATATATATATATATATCATTACCTAAATTTTCAAGAATTCGCAACAACTTGAAGGCCCACAAAACGATCAAAAAAATAAAAATAGAAAAGTTGAATTTTTAGAAAATAAATTATCTTTGCATGACAAGAAGCAAAGTTAATCAACATGTCAGCATGACCATTTAGGGCATAACAAACAACCTACATATTTGATGTTAAAAAGCTTGACTGGTTCATGATGTATAGATACAATGGAACGATCCAATAATCTAAATTTAGTACCACTGATCTCAAATGAAGGGAAGTATAAATCATTACTGAATATTTTTTAACTCAAAATATTTCTTCAATTCCGGTTGATAAAGAACCTCAAAATAATCACTAACTATCAAATTGATGCATCATTGTCATATTTAGAAACTATTTAAGAAGAAAAGCTATAGCATTATGAAAAATTTTCCAACTTATGACATAGTCTCACATGAAAAATCCCCGGTGTGAGATTTAAAAAATTCCCGTTCAGATAGCTGTAACTTTTAAGAGCTTCTTTTTATCTTTTTATCTTTTTTTTTTGTTTCCATTTCCATTTTCTTTAGCAAGCATGTTATTGTTACTATCAACTTGGCAAAAACAATGTGTTAAAAAATTTAACAATTTGAACCAAAATTTAACAATCTGTACTAAATAGTATGTTGAATTTAGCATTTTTACTAAATAATTCATAAAGTTTCTAACGTAAAGTCCCTTTTTAACAAATTTGGTAAACATAATTAGCACCTTTATAGTTTGATGCAACTGTTTTTCACACTGCAATATTTTCATTAAAACGCAAGGAAAAATCATACTTTCTACTGTTTTTTAATCTAAAAAACAAAATATGCACAAATATATAAACATTTTGAATGAGCCTGAAAGGTGAGCTTTTTTTTTCTTTTTGATGCTGAAACAAACAATAAATATTTTGCGGAAGCAACAGATTATAACGATTATTAAGAAATAGTTATCATATAAGTTGATGTGGTTTTATCAATTAAGCTTATCATGGTATTGGTGTCCAATGCATTCGTAACAGACAAGCTTGCATCGGCTTAAAACTAATAAAAATCGAAGAGTGATCTTTTTGCTATCGATAACATATAAAATTAATATTTGCAACATTCTCTTTATTTTCAATATAATTTGGATAATTTTAATAAACCTTTAGTAACGAAAATTATTTTATAAGTATAAAAAAGTAGTGAGAAAAAAGCGAAGCAGGTAAAATGCTATAAGCAGGTCTATCACAGAATCGGTGACTGCTCGTTAGTTGTTAAATTCTGTTGTTTAGATTCTGCTTTCATCAGGCTGGATACCATTTTGATCGGAATTGTCCTCGCGATATTATCACCCTAATGTTTCAAACGTAACATAACTTGCAAAACGATTGCAACAATTTTGATACACTATATATTGACACATTATAACTGATTTTTTTATTACATTACAGTTCCATAATAAAATAAACCTTTTGGCGCGGGACACTTGCAATAACATTAAGATGTCCATCTGCAGTAAGACTACTGCTAACTGCATCTGCTGGCACGTTCGAAGGCAGTGGAAATTTCCTGAATACACATATAATGTAAAATCCACTACACAGTATATATATTTTTTTGATTTTCAAAAAACCTTTCAGTAAAAAATAAACCTAATTAGAAGCCGTTCCACAAGGCCAAATTCATCCTCTCGTTCAGCGTGCTTTGCTTCGATGATTATGTAGGAATTTGCTACCGATACCTGAATTTTGATTCAATTACGTCTTCATTACACAGTTAAATCTCATAAACTCAATATTTTTTAACCTCAGCCTTAGTCTTAGTTTAAAGCTAATACTAATGTTGTCAAGTAGCTTCAGATCCATCGAGTATCAAAAACAGAAAGATCACTGGCACAAAAAAATATTTCCTTTGGAGACCGTTTTTGATCAGAATAATCGAAAGAAAAATGATACGATTTTTTCAAAAGAGAATTTAATAACAATTTTACTCTCGATTTCATTATTTTTCTAAAGGATATTTTTAAGTTGATATGAAAAATTTGATTTAGGTACATCTACAATTCGCTTTAAACTCAGTTTTAGAAATAAAAAAAAAGTAAGAAGGCGATAAAAGGGAACCAATTTATAAGGATTCCGAATAACCTTTATACTCAGCGCCAAATTCTAAGAGGTAAGAAGAAGGGAGAGTCTTTTTTTGACTGGGGACGTTATGTGTTGTAGTGGTTACGAAGGAAATCTTTCAGTTAAGACAATATATTTTGATACGATATGGTAAAATTTACGACTATAACAAATTTAGGGTCAACAAAAATAGCCGAAACCGTCAAAGGATTCAGACATAAAAATTTCTATGGGACTTAAAATATTTCTAAAGTACAACATACTTTTAGATCTTCAGGTCTGAATTGTGATAAATCCATCTGTACGTAAAAAGAATCGTCGGTCTGCTGGTGGGATGCTATAAGGCCTGTTCCGGCCGTTGATGTATTTGTTGACGTTAATGTGGTAGGTGGCAACTGTAAGCTGACTTTATTAACTCTTTAATCAGAATTTTTAATAACTATAACGCTTACTCTTTAAGAAATCAAAACTGGAACATTTTAGTGAAAAAAATTGAACCATGTTGGAAATTACAAATTTAGTTAAAGAAAATTTCGCTTAATAAACGTGAATACACAGCGCAAAATTTAAAATTTTAGGATTAAATTGGAAATAAAAGGCAGTACCTGGAAACTTGAGGTGGATACGTGCAGTGGTGATCCCATATTGGATAAATGTAGTGGTGAACCTGTACTAGTGATTTTTGGGCCTTGTTCAATAATTCGCTTTTCATATGTCCGATTGTAAGATGATGTTCGATTGTATGCTGATGTGGACGACATTCTTTTTGATTCTCCACTGGAAATATAAAAAATAATTTAAGATTTTTAGAACGTTTGTCAAGCTTTGCGTTTTTTAAAACAGGATGTTAAATTAGCACCTAAGAAATACAATAGAATAATTTAGGTCATTCAGCAATAAATAAGAATTGTTAGATGATAAGTAAAAGTATATAAAAGAATAGGCAAAAGAAACTATGACAATATAACAGTCAATCAAAGAAAATCATAAAATCATATTATTAATTTCGTTTTGAATACAGTTTTATTGTCATTAAGAACAAAATTTCCAAAAAAAAAAAAAAAAAAAACAAAAATTAGGCAAATGATATAATATTTAGCATACATTTGATTATAAGAATAACGAAATTTTTTATCATTTCTTCTATGATTTTAAATAAGCTAGCGTAGTTCAATGAAAAGTCCAATTGAAAAATATTTTAGACTTTAAACTGATTAAAACAGTGCCTTAAAGAAATAAAAATAAATTACATTGAAATACTGGAAATTGCATTCATTAACTGAATTTATTGCTTCTACTAAAGTTTTATTTTAGTTTCGCTTGCAGTAAATAAAGGTTGACATTAATACTGATAAAGGCTGATAGCAATACTCAGATGAATGCCAAAACAGTTTATTGTTAGAGAGAATCGAGATCGCTACGATATGGGGAACGAAGTAAGATGAACGTAAGAAAAGTGCTATCTGAAAGTTTTTTCTCTTAGTGCTATTAAAATTTGCAAATTTATGATTACAATTTATCATCCTTATTATTGTCTTCTTTTACATGCTTCTTCAAAAAAAATTAGTTATAGCGCTGAGATCGTAGTGACTTTCTCATCTACGCATTATTTCATTAATGTTTGCTTTTGAATCTCAAACGATTTTTTAACTACTGCAATCAACTGGTATGGAAATGAACGATTAAGTTACATGTGAAAAAAAGCTTAGCTTAGTGATTTCGTAAATTTAAAGATAATTTATGCTATGTAAAGTAATTTGCTTGTAATATGACCAATCGAGAACTGGAATGCGTTTCTATCCACTCGCCACAACATCAAGTCTAAAATACTTTATTCTGATAATTTATTACTTAAGAATGACAGATAACAAAAGAGAAAATAACGCAATCGTATATTGCTTTTTTATTCATATCCTTTCCCCATAATCATAATAAACATCATAATAAAAAATAGGTGGCAATATAACTGGATTTGTCGAACTATATCACAGCAATGAAGGTTCATATTTCTAAGTGGGTTAAAATAATTTAAAAGACCATTTAAAGTTCTTTACATACCTTGGTAATTCTTGACGATATTACAATAAAATTGCCGGTTTATCAGGTTATTCGAACATTGATACCATTATTATTTATTTGTCCATAATTTAAAAAAATTCCCAAAAAAAATATAATTCAATAGACTTTAATTAAAGGAGTCAGAATTTCCACTACCTAGGTCAATTGGAATACTGGCAAATCATACCCAAAATAATTTGAATGAGACATATTTCGAGAAAGCTTGAAGGTAACAGCATTCTCTAACATCTCCAATTCTATATTTTTTCCAGTTTAATTCTCTTAGATACAATTCAATACCACACTTTCGGAAATTTACGGAAAGGATAATTAGGAAATGAAAGATTTAACAAACCCATTTATGGAAACAAACCACGAGACACTTTCATTTATTTTGTTTGAATTGCTCTAACTAATCTATTTTTACAAGTTGGAAAGGGGACAAAGACCAAACATATATTCTAGAATGAAGTGTTATTTTAGATAAGCGGAATTGTAAGCTAAAGGTGAATGAGTTGGTCGGCAGGTGAAGCTGACATTCCAGTGGCTCAGTTAGAAGTGAGTGAAATATATAGTATGTGGTAGCAGAAAGAGTGGCAACTGCATGACTAAGTTCAGTCTCTTTATACTTTTCTTTTATCCACCCAGAGAGTTTAGTCGACACATTTCTAAAAGTTTTTTTCCTCGAACTAGTCAGTTTGAAATAATTCGGTCTATGCCTGTGCGCTCACTACCCACGCATTTGCACCATTTGCACAAGCACGACTCTCGAATATCAGAGTAGCTAGACTTTGAGATAGATCTAGTTACTATAGTAAACTTCGAATATTTAAACAGTGAATCACTATATGGCGAATATATGAAATGGAATTTTGATAGAATCACAGTTCCTTAGGCCATTTCTTGCATGATTAGTATTCCACGCATGCAACTGCATTTCGACTCCAAATCTTGCATATTGAATCGTTTCAGATTTCTTAAATTCAAATAGCTGAACGAACTTTCAATACTAAACTTATGACAGAGTGAACGGTCAGAAATAACCCTTGGTCATGAAAGAATTCCGTCAAATTACAAGTGTCTCCAGTAAGTAAACCAAAAAAGTATGTCACCTATAAATCATCCGGAAAAGAAACTAAGCACATCATATTGGAGTTTTATTTGCAACACTATCGTCATAGATTTAGCTGTAGATTTAGCTATCATAGTAAACAATGAATCACTTTACTACAGCGAAAGCAAGAATTTGTTTTCCTTCACATCATTAACTAAAATACATGAAATTGATTTACACATGATAGAGATATCAAAAAAAGAAAAAAAAATATAGTCAGACAAAAGTTTAAAACAAGAATTGTAATCATGCGTCTGATTTCATTGCATTCCGACAGAGCGTGCATTCACTTATATGTAAGATTGAGCTCTATGCCACTATGTTAGGATAAAAATATATTGAATGCATTTGAAAAAAAGTATGAACAGCAAATGTTGGAAAAACCGAAATAAATTTGTAATATGTCGGAATAATTTTGCATTAAATCCATATGATAGGAATTTTTAAACTAGAGATTGTCTTATTTGAATATTCCTTAGACAAATACGAAACTGTTTCAACTTTATATATTAAGTGAAAAATCACTTATCTGACACTATATTCCAGATACTAAGCTCATGCGCATTGTCTGGAATGCCAAGTATTATCGGATATCTTTAAAAGATAGTGAAAGGAAACGATGCTTGGCGATGAGCAAAAGCGTTGTTTTAACATGAAATGGAATTATCCCTTTGTCAGACTGCCAATTAAGTCTTCATATTCATCAGTGAACTGTTAGCCTCCATGTACATCACTGAACTGTTCCACGACTAATAAATATTTCAGTGAAAATAAATTTGAATGACAAACTTGCATTATTATTTGAGATACAGTTATTTCATATAATTTTTATGGCAAAATTTGAATTTTATAAAAGACAAAACTGATCTTAAAAAATATGTGTTCTTTCAAACACAGTCAACATTACCGCAATAATTAGCACTTATATAAATGATATCCAAAATAATATCTATCAAATTTTATTGTAAATTATTTCATTTCTTAAAATAATCTCGAGAGTCTTCAAATAGCTTACAAAATATATCAAATAAAATTGTATTAGTCCATAATACTAAAATTTCTCTTAATTCAACATTAGAAATGTAAAACTGTTTTAAATTGCATCTCATGCAAGCAGTCATTATTCTAACACTAATGTTTCTGTTGTAACTGAGCTTATCTGTTTGGAAAATTTATGTGAGGTTATGTGACAAAGGTTGTTTAATATGTTAAAAGTATTTTGCAATAAGGGCCATTGGAATAATGAATGTAACATTTACCCCACACTCAAACTCCAGATGGAACGTTTAAGGAAAATCACTGCATGTTTCAAATGTCTTTGAACAGCATGCAACAAGTGATTGCTAAAAAGGGAAACTTTTGTGCTTCCATTATAAACGTTCACACAGTACGGCACTGTGTATCTTACTTGCAAGAAAGTTAAGCAAACAGTGGATTCCAACAAGGAAAAACTGGATTCGCTCACAATCGCTAATTCTGTTACCGAAAAGGAAATTCAAGAAATAAATGTTATCGATCCCAGGCGCCCAGAAATTTAGCTCTATTTGATATTGCTTCTCAATTATTGTTCATAGCAAAGGAATTGGCATATTGATTAAATCTATAAAGAACCAAAGAAATGGAGCTAAACACTGCTTCATTTGGAAATAAGACAACAAAAACGTATCTTACTATTGGAATAAGGAAATAATCCAATTAGATGCAGTAACAGTTTCCTACTTGACGAATGTAATTACAAGTAGTTGGTCTAAACAAAAAGGGATTATCGAAGATAAAGAAATAAAATCAATTAAGCAACTTCAAAGGCCAATGGAAACAACCGGACATTCTCATGGTTGCTTATCACTTCTTTAAGTTTATTCAGTTCGACAAAGTAGAGAACTTAAGATACGGATCTTCCTTGATCCATACAAAGGTTGAATCTATGCTAGTTGTAAGTGGATATATAAATGAAGTTCACAACAATAAAACCATATCAGTGGACCATGCTTATCTAGTCAATACCATCAATATTCTAAACGTTTTCGGAAACTGGAATTAATTGGCATTTAAGATAAAACAAATGCTGGCAATGATGAAAAGTAACAAACAAACTATCACTAGGAACGAGGAAGATGTCAAGAATCTGTTGGCCTTGGAAAGACTCAAAGAACCAACTGAGCAATAATTTCGGACTTTGCTTTGGAAGATTAAAGTCGTTAATTAGAAGGCTGCAAATGAAACCTCAATTACCGGGTCGATATAATGAAACCATTAACTCAATTCCAGTATAATCGAGAAAGTATCACCGGAAGTGAATGAGGTTTTTATTATCTACCCCACCACAAAGAATTAGCACCCAATAAAACCACAGCAAAACTGCGAATCGTTTATGACATCAGCTGATTGTAAAGGAATGAAAAGTTTCAATAATGTTTTATATCGGCAGCAGATAACACTTCCTGATTTAATTGAAGTACTGTTACGCTTTCGCACGATGAAAAATGTGATAATAGCATATGTAGGAAAGGCATTCTTGCAAATAGAATTGCATCCAACGGACAGAAACCACTAACTTAAGTAAATTTTGACGATTGTGTCATATTGCGTCCAACTGACTTCATATTGTCGAACGCTCCTCTAATTATGCCTACTTGCATGAGTTTATCCTTCATAAATTGACAAACAAAAACATTCAAGAAAAACTCGTGCAGTAATAGACGAATACATTAAAGGCCCTTGATACCTTCTGGGGAATATGGAAAGACGAGTAGCTGACTAGTCTTAAAGAGAGGACCTAAAGAGAACATTCCTCTCCAAGCAATGTAGTAAGAAGAGCTCCTCATGAGGGAGAGACTGTGTTAATAAATGAACTAGAAATTCCCCGTGGCATGTGGAAATTAGCCAGGATAAAGCAAATTAAAAGAAGAACGGATGGAGAAGAAACAAATGTCTCAATAGAATTACCACAAAGAAACTCAACGGACAAATATGCTGTAGCCACTGGAATCAACAAGGAAGGAAATTCGGATTCTCAACTAATAGTATTCCACAAATCAATTCAAAGTGTTGACAAACAAGAACCTGTCGCTCGACGAACTAGAAATGCTATGAACCGACACATTCAAACAAAGCTGTCCAACCATCCTTAAAGTATCCAGCTCCTTCAATCAGGAATGCCACGAACTCGAAAGAATCTCGCGAGCCTCCAAATAACTTATAAAATATATTAAATAAAAATATACTAATCCATAATACTAAAACCTGTCTTAATTGGACATTAGAAATGTAAAACTACTTCAAACTGCCTCACATAAGCAATCATTATGCCAAGACTCATCTTCCCATTATAGCCGAGCTTATGTGCTTATCTAGAAAATTTCAACAGTCAACAAAGGGTATGTGCATTGTTTAATATGTTAAAAACTACTCCTTTGTTCTAATTCAAATTTACTTACGACGTTGAAATACTGTAAAGCTTTTCCATGCTAATAGTGATTCCTGGAGGAATTGACAATGTTAAAATCCAACCCTTACTACATGAAGAGAAAAGATCATCTGATAGCTAGCTCTTACCTCAATGTAATCATGCGCTTGTTGCAAGTGAGTGCTAACTGCATATGGAATTAACTTGTCTAGATAGTTTTTTTGTACCAACACGTTATAGTTCGACTGCTCTCCCGCGCTCATTTAATTCAGTTCATTTAAATCCCTTAAGTTCCCCATCAATTCATTCATTTTCTTCAGTTCATTTGTAGATACTCTAGGAATTATCACCGTATTGTTGCTATAGATTAATACTTGTGTATCGTGGCTGCAAAAGCATTACAATAGGCTTTTCATTCAACGCATTCGTCTATATCAATTACAGCAAGAAACAAAGGCTCTTGAACATAAGAAAGTTCAATTCTGCTCTGAGCCAGAAGTTAGACTGAACCCCCCAGTTTCACAACAAGCAGTGGTGCAATAGCAGTGATTGCAGCGGTGCAGTGAAAGTACGACAACTTAGCCTACATTTAGTGGACTGTCGGTATTATTTATATTATATAAGCGCGATATTATATAATATCATTAAAGAACAATAAAGCTATTGCCATGACGTGTGGAGTTATGACAACACCTATTAAAAACTTCCCCTGACAATAAATACTACTACAAAGCAACAGTTTGATATCAACTAGCCATCTTGATTTTGCAAATCTCAGGTCTAGCACATGTTAAGCTGTAATATATGTCCATTCTAGATTTGATAGTTATGTTATTGCAACTACCACAAACTTACTCCGAAGCTACCAAACACTACCATCTACTTTCAGGGAAAATAATTACCACCACTAATACAAGTGACCTTAACAGAATTACAAATGCAAAACCATCGCAACAATTGAGAACCATTTTCATTTAATTTAAATTACTCGTGACTACCCAGTCACCACAAATCCTCGGAGCATGGGAGAGGACCCCACTTTTTGCCTCGCTGCTCAGCCCACAAAAATTATAACACAAGTGTCAAAACAACCCTGTAGTAAAAAATTAGTGGAATTTGAAGGGAGGAAAAGAACTTCAAAACTTCTTTTTCTTCATAAACGGGAAACAAAAAACTTCTATCCTAAATGAAATACCAGCTTCAAAATCTCCACTACTCACTTGTTTTCGAATAAGTAGTAAAAACTTTTGATTCGATAAAAATGACATAAAATATAAGTTTTGTCAGTTTATTCCGGTATTTCTAATACAGTTGTGACACTGGAAGTTATCACCATCAAAAAATTAATTTGTCCACAATGATGGTCAATTTAGAGCAGACGATCACTAAAATATAATAAAAACAATGCTGCTGTAAGTAATGTTGCGAACTGCGCAAACATACAAGTAAATAATCATAAGCAGAAGTAAACTAACAACATCTGAATATTAAATTTCATGAACAAAATTGAACACTTCCAAATTAATCAAAAATATTTCATTACGACTAAGGCACCATCATTAGAACGCATAATATGCAAATTTTATGCAATTATTGGTAATGCTTTCCAATTATTGTATATATTCATATTACAAATGAATACAATCTCGGATTTTAAGAAAGGCTACTCCACAAAGGATGAGCATTTTTTTTTCTCTTCACCACATCCAATTCTGCTGTAGAATGTGGGCTGAAAGGATTAAGTTTCAGTGAAGATTTGAGATAATAATAGATCAAGAAAAATCCTCAATTTCCGAAACGTTGCACCTAAACCCTAAAGCAAAGTATAAGAAGTTTTTATTATTGTATAGAACCTGTAGGTCGTAAGTAACACTTTTATCTTCATCATCAGAATCACTTGACCCATCGTTTAATATGCCTGGTCCAGAGGTAACTGCATTTGAGTGCCCAGAATCCTTCGAAACAAATTTCGCAAAACACTTAATTGAACAAATAAGACAAAAAGCTTTTAACACAAAAAACTTGCACTATGTGGAAAAAAACTAACACTGTCACAAACGCGAACAGGCCTTTTACTTACAGGAATACGATAACTGTGTGAAGAACATGTTCCACATACGACATTACCACAAGCGCGACAGTGATGCTGAAAAGTTACAAAAAAGATGTAAATTTATTAAAAATTCTTTTTTTCTTTATCTTATCCCATCCTCAAATCGTCGATCCTTTGGAAGACTTTATTCTTCAGCCACTGACTGCTAGAAATAATCTCGTACTACATTACTATTTGATTAAGCATAAGTTACAAGTAACAACAATGAAAATGCATAAATAGAAATTTCAAAGCATAAAGATGAAAAATCTTTCCCACCGCAGTCAACTATCAAAGAACTGGTATTGAAGGCCTTGACGTTACACAAGAATGAGAACAAAACTAAAAGATCAAAACCTATTTTCTGTTGTTCGCAGAAAGATTAACCTTATTGTACCGTAAATGTCTTCATAAATGACAACATTTTTTTTTCTTCAACAACAAATAATTTTAGAAAACAACAATATGGAATAAAAACGCTACTAAATAAAACTGAATTATTGAGAACACACCCTGCGCTGTATGACGGTAAACTGTGTCCTTTGACAAGCCATGCACTTAGTCGCTTCACCATCAGGCACCCAAACTGCAGCATGCTCAGTTGCAGGTTTTTTTCCACCTAGAACAATTTGAGGCTTGATACAGTAATTGTTCTTGACAACATGCTTGAATGTCCATAAGGAAAAAATGACGCCATACAAACTGCCCAACGTTTATTGCACAAAATCCAACTTTTTAATTGAGTTCAAACTAACAGTAATAAAAAGGATTTAACGTTTAAATTAATTGAGTGTAAAAATGAAGCTACAGATCTCAAAGAATATGCTACCTCGGGTAAGAATATCATGTACGCAACGTTCAATGTGTAAAATCCATTCCTTCTTCTCTGTACTTGTTGCTGCGAAAACAGCGAATGACTTCAATCTTGTTTTAATGAGCCAACCATTCCTCATGTCTTAATGCAAATTACATGAATAAGTGGAAGGCATACATTAACTTCCAAATAATATTCGAATTTCTGGAAGACATATTTGATCATCGTTCCTTATGGCTGGAATTTGTAGAGGTATCTTCATTAATAAAAAACTGTTTTTCAATCCAGCGCCTGGATCAAACATTTATTCAAACAGAAAAGGAAAAAAAAACACCTCACCTCCCTCATCGTCAAGATCTTGTAGCTGCACCTCTTCCAGTGGAATTACATGCTGTTTGTTGTAACGTTTTTTTGAGATTAAAATATTGCCATACACCAAAATATCGTTGAAAAGGAAAAACTGGCGCGGTTTAGGTTTTTTCCTAAAAGTAACTATAACTGGCAATCTTCATTTGCGAATAAAATTCATTGAACTTCCCAATGACTACACTTACCTACACATTTTCACCAATACTCCCTCACCGACCAAAACCCGTCCGTATGCTGCCAACTGTTGACCAGTACTTCCGAAACAAGCCTCAACATTTAAAATACGGCGAGTATTTACTTCACTATTTACTGAAAAATAAGTTTATATTTTTATATTTGGAATAAATGGCAAGTGCTTTAAAAGCTTTAAAAGATTTTAATTAAAAACCAAATGGTACTTGCTTGCTTTAGCACTAATAAACCTAAGCTTTACTTTAACTATAATCCAAATTACGCTAAATAAGCAGCCTTGGCTTATTTAAGAGCTTTAATAGCCACAGTCAAAGCTGGTGTATTACAAATAAAACTGACAATTTCTTTTGTTCAAAGTGTTACTGATATTCGAACAACGTACTTTTATCTTAATCAGATACAGTCAGAACAGAAATTATTTTCCTCTCAAACTAATGGTGTTTTGTTTTTCGTCTTTTTTCTTGTTTTTCGCTTTCATTCGTAGCAGATTTGTTGTGAGAAATAATCGAAAAAAATATGAAGTGCTGACAATTTGGATTAAAACTTGGATTAGAATCTATAAGGACAAACCTAAACGGTCAACCATTGCTGTCTCACCACTATATAATTCGAACCTGGAAATGACTTCAAGACTTACTACACAAGCTGATCAAGGTTGTTCAAAAGTGTTTAAAACAGTTTCAGTTGGCAAAAGCGAAGAATCAAACAAAAGAATGAAAGCAAAATATCAGTTCGACGTGTCCGATAAGAATCGATAACTATAAAAAGTATCCGAAATGCAGTTGACACTTTCTGAAATCAGCCAACCAAACATCTACTTCGCACGGCATCATCCTCTCCAATCGTGTATTCCCTTCTTAAAACTTCTCACCTCAGTAAATTATCCTGTCAAAAGAAGTTACCCATAATCTACGCCATCAGCAAACATCCCACACCGCGGTGGACTCCATTCGCCAGAATCACCAACTTTCTCTACGTCCCCCTTCTATACCACATCACAGAGTAGAATACATTGTCTTACAATCAGTCGTTTTACGATCCATATACGTAAACACGCACTTCGTGTTCCGGCAACTCGCTCTTGAACCTGTCACATCCCCAGTATTTTGACATTGTCGGTGCTGTGGCGTGATATACTCCTCCCGGTACGGTTGTTATCGGGTTATTGTTTGCGTTTCAGTTGATAATTTTTTATCACTCAGTGACCACATTATCTCCTCTTATCTTCAGTAATCATAAACATGGTGACATCGTTTTCTTGCTGTATCATCAAATTACACGTCCTGCATTGCTTCGGGTGTAATATTCGGCGGAGGAGACGTGGGGTGAATCACCTGAGACCGAATGTTTTCATTTCAGGACGTTGACTTGCCTTTCTAACATTCGAGTTGTCGAGTGTTGGGAGGAAGGATGTTTTAGATGGTGTAGAGGGGGGTAGGTAGGTGGAGTTTTTAAAACACGTTTCTGGACTCATTATAGATAGATTTCCTTGGTCGTCTTTTCCTGAAATATTACGCAAATTTGATGGCTCATTTTGTTGGTCGTTTCTGTTATTGATTTTCTTTTTGTATTAAAATGACTTGTGGAAATTATCATTCCTCACAGTGTCTGTGAGGTTCCGATCGGATATAAACATGTACAATAGCGGAGAATTATTTCAATGTACAAACAAATAATCAGTTATAATTTCCTGGAAATATGCCCCTGCGATTGGATGTGAAAAAGAAATTGTTGGCCAGATCAGATCGCGTCAAATGCGTTGATTTACATCCAGTCGAAACATGGATGCTTGTGGCACTTTACAATGGCAATGTTCACATATGGAATTATGAAAATCAACAGCTCGTGAAGTCTTTCGAGGTTTTTGTCCTTTAATAATTTCTGAGTTTTTTAAATGTGGAGAACTAAACTTGTATTCAAATTCTTTGAACATATTGTTCCAAAATTCATAAGTTGTATGATTTAACTTAATATGTTTCAATCTTTATAGTCTCAGTTAGAGAATTATGCTGTTAGATGTCGTGCTGCTTTGAACATATACAACAGCAGTGACATACGCTTTATACCGTTCTTCGTTGACTAATGAAACGCCTTCATTAGGTTTGCGAACTACCAGTGCGATGCGCAAAATTTGTCCCGCGCAAAAATTGGGTAATAACAGGATCGGATGATATGCATGTGCGTGTTTTTAATTACAATACACTGGAACGTGTACATCAATTTGAAGCACATTCTGATTATTTACGTTCTATTGCCGTCCATCCATCTCAGTCTTTCATTCTGACCTCAAGTGATGATATGCTCATTAAACTTTGGGACTGGGATAATAAATGGAGTGTGAAGCAGACTTTTGAAGGTTATTTTCTAGATTTCGTTTTTGAATGCTGGAATCCAGACATGGTAGTTTAATTCATTAATGTCATAACTTCATTTCAGGCCATACCCATTATGTAATGCAGTTGGTTATCAATCCAAAAGATAACAATACTTTTGCAACTGCCTCACTTGACAAGACAGTGAAAGTTTGGCAGTTTGGTAGCCATACAGCAAATTTCACTTTGGAGGGTCATGAAAAAGGTGTAAATTGTATCGATTATTATCATGGTGGTGATAGACCATATCTGATTTCGGGTGCAGATGATCGCCTTGTTAAAATATGGGATTACCAGAATAAAACATGTGTTGCTACTTTGGATGGACATGCACAGAATGTGTCAGCGGTTTGCTTCCACCCTGAGTTACCGGTTATTATCACTGGTTCGGAAGATTCGACAGTTAGGTTGTGGCATGCCAGTACATATAGGTTCGTTACAGAATCCGTTGTATTGCAGTACATCGTGTTATAAATTATTGTGGTAAGTCAAAATTAACTGTTTTATGTTTTTGTGTACATGTAGATTGGAGACGACTCTCAATTATGGCCTTGAACGTGTTTGGTGCATTCACGCCTTACGCGGTTCAAATACAATTGCTATCGGCTATGATGAAGGTTCGGTAACAGTTAAATTGGGTAGGGAAGAACCAGCAGTTAGTATGGACTCGAGTGGAAAAATTTTATGGGCCAAGCATTCTGAAATGCAACAAGCTAATTTGAAGACACTTGATGCTGCTGCGCTAGAACAAATGCAAGGTTGCTTTATTATTCACAAACAAATCTGTTCGAAAATTCATTTTTTTAATTAAATTTGCTTGAAGCAACTGTCATTTATTTGTATATTCTCTCATGCAACTATCATATTTTGATTTTCTATGGCCTTTATTTTTTTCACATTTAATAACTGCTTCCAGTTCTATTTAGCATCATCCCATGGATGGTCTTTCGCAAATTTGTTCATTCGTTGCGAATACCATCCAGCACTTCATTTGTTTAACATTTTTCTATAATTTTATGTTGATTTCTTCCAAATTTTGTAATTTTTGATTTTCTGTTTTTATTGCAGATGGAGAGCGTATTTTACTGTCGATAAAAGATGTAGGTTCTTGCGAAATATATCCCCAAACACTGGCTCATAATTCTAACGGACGTTATGTAGTTGCTTGTGGTGATGGTGAATATATTGTTTACACTGCCATGGCTTTGCGTAACAAGGTACTTCGAAGGATATATTTCCCATATCTAATATTTTTCATAAAGTATTTAAATTACGATCTAGGTAAAAATTGACTGGAAACGTTAGCAAATTCATGAACATTATTTTTTGAGTTACTCCTGAAAGCTAATTTGTCAGGGTATTTATAGTTTGGTTACTACTATGCATAATACAGATATATTGTCAGCGTAAAAACATTTTCGAATATTCCAGGCTTTTGGCTCCGGTTTAGAATTTGTATGGGGTGCCGACCCTTCAGAATATGCTGTTCGTGAATCGACATCTAGTATTAAAATTTTCAAAAATTTCAAGGTCTGTTTTATTTTTAAATGCGTGGTTCATCCAGGTGCTTTCTCTTTCGCTATCCCAAGCATTTATGATTTACAGGAAGTGCGCACGTTACGTCCTGATGTGATTATGGAAGGCATAGAAGGTGGACCACTCGTTGCTGCTCGTTCTGCGAATGCTTTATGCTTTTTTGACTGGGAAACAGGATCTTTAATCCGTCGAATAGAGATATCAGCCAAACATGTTTATTGGTCTGACAATGCTGAAATGGTACACTTTAAAACAATCTGTTTTATGGTTTGCGAAGTATAGTCAGTTTTTTTTTCTCAATTATAACAAAACGCTGATTATAGGTTGCAATTGCAAGTGAAGATGCATTTTACATATTGAAATATAATAAAGAAGCAGTTGAAAATGTAACAGCAGCTGATATTGACGGCATAGAGGATGCTTTCGACGTCGTCGGTATGTAGATTTTTACAAAGAACAACCACATTGTTCTATTTATTAAATTGTATATCACTTCGCGAAAAATAGAGAAGATAGAGTTTTTGATGTTTCTCATCATATTTCACTACTGCGTATGTGCGCGCTGAAGATTTTTTGCACTCACAGTGGACATTTAACATAAAAGATATTTCTAAAGAAATAAAATTGGTTTAAGTCAAGTAGAAACTTTCAATGTTCACAATTTCATCTTAAAGAAGTGTTTTAGTAGCAGTTGTTTTCGTTTTTATTTATGTATTTCAGGTGAAGTACAGGAAAGTATTAAAACAGCAATATGGATTGGTGATTGCTTCATATTTACGACTGACTTAAACCGACTAAACTATTATGTAGGGGGTGAAATAGTAACTATTGCCCATATGGATCGTCCTCTGTATTTAGTGAGTTTAATGAGAAACTTTCATTTAATAAAGTATCATAACCATGACCATTAACATAATAAGCAGTTCCAAATTTTGAAGATGTTACCAGTAACAGTGGAAATGATTTTTTTCTATCAGTTTTTGAACAAGATTTTAAAAATATTTCAGTTCTACAATTTTTTCTGTTTGTGATACCCAAAATATTTTCGGATCGCATTGCCGTATTCATTTTTTCCATACTTTTAGCTGGGTTATACTCCAAAAGAAAGCAGACTATACTTATGCGATAAAGACCATAATTTCGTCTCATATCGTTTGCTGTTATCAGTACTCGAATACCAAACTGCAGTTATGCGTCGGGATTTTGACACAGCGAATACTGTAAGTGGTACTTGATAACATAAAAATCGGTATTAGTTAAATTTAGAAATTCAGTATTGAATCCTGAATTTTAAATATTGACGTTTCTTGCAAGCAGTACCAAATTTTAAAGATGTTGCCAGTAATACCGCGTGATCATCGAACTCGTGTAGCGCACTTTTTGGAGAAACAAGGATTCCGGAAGCAAGCTTTAGTGGTTAGTCAGGATCCAGACCATCGTTTTGAGCTTGCTCTCTCCCTTGGAGATTTAAAACTAGCGTATGATCTTGCCGTGATTGCTGATTCGGAGGAAAAATGGCGACAACTTTCTCAAGCAGCTACACTGCAGAGCGAACTTATGTTAGCCGGGGAGTGTCTTGGTCGGGCACGGGATTATGGTGGATTATTATTGCTGGCTACATCTGCTGGATCGGTTGCATTGGTAGTGTTTCTTGAATTGTCCTGTCTGACTATGTTAGGTTTCTAAGAGTTGTAATCGATATTAGTGGTCTTTCGTGATGCCGAATTATTTCAAGGTAGCGGTACTGGTTGTTCATATTTCAGTATTAGCGTGATGCGTATCTTAGTCCGATTGTATATTAAGTCTACTTGTACAGTTTGCCATTAGTTGACATTAGCTGTCTTCTGCCTATATTTAGTGGAGAAAAAAAAAAAAACGATATTTGCAAAATAGACATGAAATAAGACACATTATATTAACTTGTCCTGTCTTTTGTTGAACTGTAGTGGTCAGAACAAGTAAATTTCGCTGACCATCCCCATTTTTTAGCTATCTAAGTTGGCATCCGATGCAGAGCTTTCGGCGCAACATAACTCATCATTCCTTTCATACCTTCTGCTCGGAGACTTGGACAGATGTTTGGAAATTTTGATTTTAACTAACCGCCTTCCGGAGGCTGCATTTTTTGCACGCACATACTGTCCGTCTCAGGTTAGTATAGGCACATTTAACATCGTTGTAGTTCTTGATGTTGCTTTTTTTGTCGCAAGAAATCTAAGTCTAGAAATTTCATATTTCAGGTTGATCGCGTTGTGTCGTTATGGAAAGAGAAGATTTCCTGTAGGATATTAGAGGGACAGAAGGTTTTTCATATATTTTGGCATCCTTAACTGTTTTTTTTTTTTTTTTTTTTAGAAATTTGGTCTTTTTTTTTTTAGATTAACATCTTTGTTGCAGAACATTGGTGAAAGTCTCGCTCAGCCATCAAAATATCCCAATCTTTTCTCGGGTTTTAATGAAACACTAAAAGCTGAGCGGTTCCTCAAAGAATTAACGAAATTGCCAATTAAAGCATCGGCGCGCCCACCAATTAATACAGAGCGTAATATTCTTGGAGAAATGGCGGAGGCAGAAAAATCAGGTTGGTGAATTATTAACAAAATCGAAAAGTGTTGAAATTTGTTATAAGGATGTGTTTCAGGTGCGCTAATTTTTAATGAAGATGGAGGTGCAGAATTGTTGAGAAACGAAAATGCTGTTCTGGATAGCCGGATTATAGAAGCATGTAATACTGCGACCGATTCAGCTTTTTTGTCTGGAAATGTACAGACTATTCTAAATTCCTCGAGAGCACTGCTGACGACTTCAACTACTCCACTGTCACAAATTTCGTCCAAGATTATGCACAAGTCTTCCACAACTCCAGATTCTCAAACTGATTCAACAGCTGTAACAAGCGATTCTTCCAAGTCCCTGTCAGGACAATATATTTACACAAAACCACTGTCTCATATGTCTCATATCTCTTTGGAGATCACGGCTCCAACTGATATAAATTCTGATATTGCTGAAGATAGCGAAGAAGAAGAGGTACCGTTTTTCCACGTGACATTAATAGACGTTTGTATAAGGACGATTCTATTTATATATGATAATTGTGTTATAAAAGGGGAATTGAGATGACGAAGCAAAAAAGACTGCATTCAAGTTCGTACTACAAAATATGTTTTTGTTCAAAAAAAGTGGCGTTTATATTCTTGTACCTCAGGGAAATCTGGTGGATGTAGCCATGGGTCCAGATATTGTACGCGACCGTGCTCGACCAGATATCGTTCCTTCAGACGGAGGACCGGACGTCGTTGAAAGTGCTCTTCAACCGCAACCTGAAGTAAATGCTTTTCTTACATGGAGTATTATTTAATTTCTGCTGTAATTGAAAATCAGTACTCATGCCATATTAGCGAAGCTGTTTGTAGATGCCATATTAGCGAAGCTGTTTGTATTCATTTTCTGAATGGGAAATTTTGTCGAGGTTTTAATGGAATGACATATGTTCTTCCTGTTATTACAGTAGTTTTAATGTATGCTCAGGTGGTGCAAGATGCAGAAATAAGAAATCAAGAGAGAGTAATAGCTTGGAGCGATAACGAAGATGATGATCGGTTTGATGACGATATTGCGTTCAATATTGATGAATTGAGTTTGAAAAATAATGAGTAATACCTTTGGCTGTGTTTCTGAAACACTGCATTCCTTTTTCTTATTATTTTGTTTTAAGATGGGGTTTAGCAGTTTGTTGATGTTTGCTTTGTTACACCAGTATGTGATATGTTATTTTCGGATGAGGAATGTTTCTTTTTTAATTTATAAATACGCACTTTCAAACTGGATTTCTTATTTCTTCATGAAATGTGTCACTGACGACTTTAGGGATTTTTAAATTCTTCAGTTCTTTGTTTTAATATAGCCAGTTTGCTCTAATGAATGAAATTCTAAATTTAATTTGTTGAAGACTTAGAAATTTGCATGTCTCAGACAATTATTTTTTTATCTGAGATTATATCAATTGTGATTGCTGCATTACTGTAGTGGGTACTCCCTTTCATTGATTCCATGTTGGTTACTATTTGTTGATCTTGATTGTATATGTTCAAGAAACATAGCCCCCTAGTAACAACTTCTATAAGACGTACTACTATATAAAACGTTTTTGTATCGCTCATGTCAAGTCTAAATAATCAGAGTTGTTTTTCGTAAACAATGGTGAAAGATTGCTGAAGCATTGGTCGAGACTTTGGATGCATATGCGAAAAAAGTTCAGTCTAGTGGTAGGTTTTGTTAATGATAGTTTAATTTACTTTTGCTCCCGCGAACCCTTCTAACTGCTTTTATTGGTTAGTTCTCATGGAATTTTTTTTGGCATTTGATTTCCACCAGATACTGCTTTGCTGAAAATTACAGAAGTTTACTGGATGAGGATCTGCAATCTTACATAAGTGATTTTGAAAATACTGTAGGTTTTTCTTTTAATTTGCAACTTTAATGTGTAGTCGTAATAACTGATGTTAAGTTGGGTCCCGCCCTTGGGATTCGCCACTCTCAGTATTACTTCCAATCTTTGGTTATGAAAGTAAAATTCCTTGCAATTTGCTGGTTGAGAGTGACAGGAGAAGGGTAACAAGTGGTACGCCTTGTAACTTCTGCTTACAGAAAATATCTGGAAGGAAGGATATCTGTAAAAATGTTCTAAATTTCTGTGATGTCCAACCAATATTGCAGTTCTAAGCCTCTGAAGATTACCTTCATATTTAATAGTGAAATCTAAAGTAGAGTTCCCTAATAACTGAAGTATAAGTCATTTCATCATTATAGTACATAAAATAATTTGATTGGAAGTGTGTGCTTGAAATATGCTAATTGATCTTAAAAATAAAAAAACTTTCATTGTTACATTCGTATGCTCAATTCGTGGACTTTTTTTTTTTAACTTTGCTCCTATAGTTCAGAAACATCCAGTGACTCAGCAAAAAATTTATTCCGAATGTTCACTATTATTAGTTCAGGAACGTAGAATTTTATCTGATTTTACAATTATCAAAATTCATTATGAATTCATGCAAAAAAAAAAGTTTTTAAAGATTAAATTGGAATTTTGGAATTAGTACAAACATACATATAAATAAAATAGTGTGCATGTATATGGACATTTACAACAGTGTATGAATATTTATATGATTAGCTATCGTACGGACTATTTTTGTATTACCTTGTCATTATTATTGTCATCCATATGAATAGATTACGAACTGATTATGAATACCACTATTCTTAATGTCTCACAGTGATAGAAATTTTTAAAGTTTACTAGCGTGATTACTTCAAATGAAAAATATACAGTGGATCGATCAATGGTGACATTCCTTCTATGAAGCATGTAGAATGTTGAGACACAATGAGGAATTTCTAAAAGCTATTTTTCTACAAATTAATGAAACATCAAGTGAATACACAAAGTTTTTTAAATTGTCACTCATTTTAATTTTTTTAGATGAAGTTTCAAATGGACTAAACTTTCATTTATTTATTGAAGTTTAAACATGCGTTACCAGCGGCATATATTTCACCAAAATCTAAATCTTCCGAATTTTGGAGAAGTAATTTATATCAATTCTTGAAAATCCTGTTCGATTTGTATGAAGTAATCTAACTCGACTGCTCTCATCATCTTTAACTTCTCTTTTGCCAAAGAAGAGAGAATTACTAGGAGAAAATTCGCATCCTGAAAATAGTTGTCCTTCATCAGTCAAACTTTTCTGTTACAATATGAAAAGCATTTCTACTTTCTTAAATTGAATTCAGGCGTGTAGCAATATATGTTATGACCATCAATTTTATTAACTGTCTGGAAATGTTATCTTGTTTACTGCTCAGATTTGATTTTCTCTTGGATAGACATTTCATGTCATTGATTATATCAAATTGCAAAGAACAACGAACCTTTTTTTTTCAATTGAAAAGAATGGTATTATTCAGACTAGTAATTTTTACTTTCGAACACGCCTAAAATATTCACTCAATGCATAGATTCAATCTTTAAAATTTCAATTCAGGGATGCAAGTTTTTCATCAAATTACTCTTTGTTGTGGTTGTTACTAAATTATTATGATCAGATTCTTAAATAAATTCAATAGCAATATTTTTAGTATCGTTTGATTGGTAGGTAGGAATGAAGTATAGGAGTAGGTTGTTTGATAATTAATGAAATAAAAACATGTTAAAATTCTAGAATATATGTATGTCTATGTCTATTTGAAATAATTTTGTGAAACGACCTTTTTAGGAAAAAGGAGGGCGAACGGACAAGTGGATGATGGAAGAGGAGCTAGTGAACCAGATAACGATCAAACGACCTCGCTTTTGCCAGCATTAAACTGACTAAACTGATTGCATCAGACGATATCATAAGTTGGGGAAAACGAAAGAAGGGAGGTTGATGGGATGGTAAGGAAAGAGTGAAGAATTTCATCAAAGAGAAGTGAAAACGGGTTCTGCTCTTACCGGGCTCACTTTACTCACCAGAATCCAGAAATCCCTCCTTAACTAACCGATTAACCTAAATTTTTAGCTCATTCACTTATTTTCTATGGCAGTTTTACCAAATTTGCATATTTGATCAACACTTTTGATGACAATAAAATTCATTAGATATTTTCATGGTAATTACAATATCTAAAATACCATTATTAACAATGTGATCGTGAATGCATAATAGTTGATAAATATTAATCCTGAAAAGTATACCGCCAAATAAAGAGTACCATAGATTTTAATGTGTCATATTGTTTAAGATCATCAAATATTTATCACTAGCATTTTAAGCAATCTTTCCGACTTTAAAAACCAGATTTAGCCTTTATGTATTCTAATTAGCATGAGAAAATCATGACTGTGACAAATTCTTCCTATGTAGCAGGAACAAAGGCTGGTAACATTCAGTTAGGACATACTTTTGATTAAATGATTTCCGTTTTGCTGGTGGCGATATCAGCAGTAAACGGCGCCAGAAGCCAAGTGAATGTAATTCCAAAGGACTGAGATTATTTTCTTAATTTGAATATCAAATTAATAAAAAACAATAAAAAATATCTTTTTCGTACCATTTCCGGTTAAAGCCTGTATTTATTTAGAGAAGAAGAGCAAAAATAAAGGAGTTATGCAAGCTGAGACAATAAAAAAACTACTGCGATTTCTGCTAGGCTGGAGGATGCCACTATCCATTCCCTTCAATCGATTACCTCACAAACTGTAAAAAACATTCTTGCTATACCTTTTCATCTTTTTTTCATGATTTCATGGGTAATATTTTGAAAACTAACAAACAAGTGATAAGTAATGGAAAATGCATAGTTATTCAAAATAAGGACTTCGGAAATTATGGTCATTCGCGAAAAGACGAAGCCAAGTCGTTATGTGAACCTCAAAATAAAATAAGAACAGAACGGATGCTTGTATTTTTTATCGTACAGAAATGCTTGTTGCACGTATCTATTTATTATTGCCACTGAATTAATGTGACAATAGATAAATAGAAGAAATGGCAAAATTGTCGTGAGTGATTCAAAAACATGACATATGTTTTTCAGAATGATAAGCATGATAAGTTTTTAGAATGGCCAAAATTCTGGAATTGTGTTAAAATCGATTAAAGAATTAGATCAATATCACATGTGCTTTGGAGAAAAGTAACTTTCATACTTTAATTCCATGCAGTTCTAATGCATTTGATTCTAAAAATGAATGCCTGACTAGCCATAAAATTGAAATTGAATTTACAAAACTACTGTTCGTTCAGAAGTTTCAGCATTGCTTTTTTTCGACAAATAAAAAAAGCATTGCTTTAAAAAAAATAAAAAGTATAATTTGCAGTTCATTAATAAAATTAGATTAGTGGCTTCGCCATTCGGTAACTTAAGTTAATCAGAGATGATTAAGGTCAAGCAATTTAAGAACTGCATATTCAAATTTGTCAGTGAAAATTCAGAATTGGTAATTCTTTAAATCTGCTTGAAAAAGTAAAAATTTTTCACCATGCATTGTCGACGTTCAGTGAATTTTGCTTAAATTTGATAGTAAGAGCACGGAGCAAATGACTGATTCCACACATGAAATATATCGAACAGTTTAATTTTACAATGAATTAAACAGGAGGCACTTTAGGAACCATTTAATAAACAGAACAAAGCCATACAAATTCATTATACAGAAGATCTAGAAAGTTACCATTTTATCATTTGGTTATGTAAAGAGTGATTGAGGTCATTGCGTGCTCTGTTTCATTATTAACAAAGATTATATGAATACGTATTCATCTGACCTTAATTTTACGTCTGCTCTATAATAAATGTACAATTGCTTCAACTAATTGGAACAGCAAATTTTAAGGTCTTAAACAAAAACAAGGGAGGAAAATATATTTCGAAGGAAAAAAGTTTCAGGAAGAAATACAGAAGAAAGAAAGGCATGAATAATAAAGCTCGCTTTTCATGGATCACAAGCATGCAAGATTGATTCAAAAAATTTGGAAACAAAATTGGGAGAAATTTTTAGAAAAATGGTCCAATTATGAGGCATGAAAGATGAATTGAGCCGGATATGGTGTTTGAGTGGCAGCTGGGATATATGCGTGCGCGGAAGGTAAATGAAACTTCATATCACCGTA